TCTGTTGGTTAGCTCCCCAAATGTCCACAACAGCTGAAGCTGGGCTAGTTCAAGGCCAGAAGCCAGGTGCTTCATCGGGGTCTGTCATCTCTGCTGTTTTCCCAGGCACATTAACAGGGTAGAGCAGCCAGAACTCAAACTGATGCCAGCCCACAGAAAACATTTTCTTACACAAAAACATGTACTGCTGAATACTGATATAAATCCATGAACATGGACTGTTTTGTATTTTCTTGAGAGATAGGCGGATAGAAAGACTGGGAGCTCTCATTTGATGGTTCACTTCTCCAAATGTTCAAAATGGCTAGGACAGGATCAGGTTGAACTCAAAATAGGTTTCTATGTGGGAAGCAAGAACCAATCACTTGGGATATTACCAACTGCCTCCCAGAGTCTGCACTAGTAGAAGGCTAGAATCAGGAGCCAGAGCCAGAATTCAAATCCATGAACCAGATCTGATTCGGGGTGTGGGCATCAACCTCTAGGACAAGCATGCATTACAAATATTTAGTTCTAACTGAGCATATTTATCACTAAAAGGTGCTCATAGAATTCCATTTAAATTTTCTCTTAACAATCACTTCCAATTCAAAATTAAGTGGAAGCTCCTCAACTGCACAAGGTTTTTGTTTCTTTGTTTTGGTTTTTTATTCATCCTTCTTTCCCCATTGTTGACCTTTGTTGCCCTTGTTGCCTCCTGCCTTTGGGGTGCATGGCCTTCCTGCCACCCACTTTCTCTCCCTCTTTGCTTCTCCCTAATTTGCTTGTGGCTGCTCATAATCAAACACTCCCTGCACGTGGCTCCTGGCCTGCTCTCTGCTTGGTATGGACCCCAACTTAATTTCTGGACTTTTCTTTCTCCCTTAAAGCCCTCACTCTTTTATGCGTTTCTCTCACTAAATAAAAAGCTTAAAAACTTAAAAAAAATACTTTCATTTATTTGAAAGTCAGAGTTAAAGAGAAAGAGAAAGAAACAGAGCTTCCTTTCATCCACCAGTTCACTCCCCCACATGATAACAAAGGCTAGGGTTGGGAGTCAGGAGTTTCATCTGGGTCTCCACTGGGTGGCAGGGGCCCAAATATTTGAGTCATTTTCTACTGCTTTTCCCAGGCCATTAACAGGTAGCTGGACCAGAAGTGGAACACATAGGGATATGAAACAGCACTCATATGGGATGCTGGCATTACCGGTAGTGGCTTTACTTTTCATGCCACAATACCAGCTTCTGCATAGGAAGATTTAAATAAGAAATTTCCAGTGCATTTGCATCAAAGTCTGGAAAACTGTGATAGAACTACAGTCTGAGCTCAGAAAATACATAAGCTATACCTCTGTATCAGAATGGAGATTTTATTTATTTGAAACTTTTCAGAGTGTAAAGCATATAAAGCATTTTGATATAACTTGGTATTCAAACAGTTGTTACTATCAAATGATTTTACAACAGACTATCTCACTATAAGCCTTATTTTGCCCAGTAATTTAAATCTGAATATACGAAAAACGTTATCAAGTCTGCAGAAAAATTATTAACAAAAATTATTCGGTGTTCAAGAATATCAGTTTTGGAGCTGGTATTGTGGTATAGCAGGTAAAGTTGCGGAATGCAACATGAGCATCACTTGTAGGCACTGAATCGTGCCCAGGCTGCTCCACTTCCAATCCAGCTCTTGGCCTGGAAAAAGCAAAGAAAGATGGTCCAAATCCTTGGGGCCCTGCACCCACATGGGAGACCTGGAGGAGGCTCCTGGCTTCTTCCTGGCCTAGCTCTGACCATTGCAGCCAACTAGGGAATGAACCAGCAAATGGAAGATCCCTCTCTCTGTAACTCTGACTTACAAATCAATAAATAAATCTTTTTAAAATATAATCAAAATAATTAAATCTTAGTCCTGGTTTCAAATAAAAGACACAATCCAACATCACCACTGCTACATCATCGACCTGCTGTATAGTATGTGGTATGTGGTGGGTCAAGTCAAGATAGTTAGTGGGGCCGGTGCCATGGCACAGTAAGTTAATCCTCCACCTGTGGTGCCAGCATCCCATATGGGCACTGGTTCTAGCCCTGGCTGCCCCTCTTCTAATCCCAGGCTATGGCCTGGGAAAGCAGCAGAAGATGGCCCAAGTACTTGGGCCCCACCGTCTGCGTGGGAGACCTGTAAGCAGCTCCTGGTTCCTGGCTTCGGATAGACACAACTCCGATCATTGTGGCCATTTGTAGAGTGAACCAGCGGATGAAAGACCTTTCTCTTTGTCTCTCCCTCTCACTCTACCTCTCAAATAAATACATAAAATTAAAAAAAAAAAAAAAAAGATAGTTAGCTTCTATAACCATAAAAATTCATGGTTGTGAAAGAGGTTAACCTAACTCCACGAGTTAGGTTCACCACTAAAGCTGCTGGTTCAATAACACAGTACTTTTTCACAAAGTACTGCTAATAATTATATTAAATAACAATGAGTAACACCTACATTTTAAAATAAGCTGCACTTTGATAGGCTTTATATAAATTTAACCAACCAAGTCTTTTCCAGCTTAATGTATATTTTCACCACCATCAATTGTAACACAGCATACTGTATGTCAGGTGATACTGAATTAAGCTTGTTTAATTCTTTAAAAATATTCTCATTTAAAGTTGGTATTTACAGATTATTCACAGAAGCAAGACTTTAGGTACATGGCATAGACTCCCTAAATAAACAAGCAAATAGTATAAGCAACTTGTTAATTCATCAAGAGCCAAGGAAGATCACTGCAAATTGTTTATGTTTGTTTTTCAATTGACTACTGATGCTGTTCCCAAGGACCTCGACTTTTTGAACAATTATTCTCAATTAAAGATAAATTGTCTTAAATTTATTTTTTGTAGATACATTTCTTCCATCACTGTATTCAAATATGATCTAATTTACTCAATGTCAGCAAATTACTTTCTTTGCTGGGCTAACATGCAAGTAACTCAGAAATTTATTTTAGTGGGGCCTTCATTTTCATATTTCAGCTTAGTGAAGAAATTCTTATGTGTGCTTCCTCTGGGTCTCCTAGGTAGTTACAGGGGACCAAGCACATAGGCCATTCTCTGCTGCTTTCCAGGTGCATTAGCAGGGAGCTGGACTGAAAGTAGAGCAGCCAGGAATCGAACTGGTACCCAAATGGGATGCCAGCGCCACAGGGCTTAACCTGCTACACCATAGTGCCGGCCCTGAAATAACCCACTTTAAATTTTCTAACTTTTCTGACCATTCCTTTCCTGTCAGTTGAGAATACCTTGACATTCCAGAGTTTAGTCTGGAAACATCAATGTATATTATATTCTTTAAGCATAAGCTAGTGTCACTGTATAATAAGTGTAATACCTTTGTCATCCCATTCAATAATAAAATGACCTATATTCTACTGTACTTTAAAAGCCTGACATTAGTAATTCACTTTATTAATTTTGACATGATGGACATGCACTGGTAATAACAATAAAATGTTACAGTTCAATGACAGGCATTGAGTTGTAAGCATATTACAGCAATTTGTAATGTGCCAAACAGCAGTGTAAAAGGATGAAATCACACACAAATAGTATCTACTAGAACTACTCAACTCTGTAGCTGTATCACAAAAGTATCCACTGACAAAATAACTTAATGACTCTGGCTGTATTCTAATAAAACTATTTACTGGTACTCAAATTTGAATTTCATGCAACTTTCAGGTGTTACAGATTATTCATCTTGGGACCGGTGCTTTGAGATAGTAGTCTAAGCCTTGGCAGTTCCAGCATCCCATATGGGCACCAATTCCTGTCCTGGCTGCTCCTCTTCAATTCAGCTCTCTGCTTATGGTTTGGGAAAGCAGCAGAATATGGACTGAGTGTTTGGGACGTTGCACCCATGTGGGATACCTGGAAGAAACCCCTGGCTTCTGGCTTTGGAATGGCCCAGCTCTGGCCATTGTGGCCATTTGGGGAGTGAACCAGCAGATGGAAGACCTTTCTGCCTCTCAAATAAATAAATAAATAAAATCTTTTTAAAAAATTATTCATTCTTAAATTTTTCCTACTTTCTAAAAATGTCAAAAAGCATTCTTAGCTGGAGGCCATAAGAAAATGGCAGTAATAGCTTACCCTAGCTGTTAAGACACTGGTTAAGGGGCTAGTGCTATGGCACAGTGGTCTAAAACCCCAGCTTGCAGTATCAGCATTCCGTATGGACACTGGTTCAAGTCTTGGAAGCTCCACTTTCAATCCAGCTCCCTATTTATGCGCCTGGGGAAGCAGCAAAGAATGGCCCAAGTCCCTGGGCCCCTGCACCCACGTGGGAGACCCAAAAGAAGCTCCTGGCTCTGGATTGGTTCAGCTAAAGTCGTTGCAGCCATTTGGGGAGTGAATGAGCAGATGGAAGACCTCTCTCTCTGTCATTCCCTCTCTTTCAAATAAATAAAATAAATCTGGAAAAAAAAAAAAAAAAGACACTGGTTAAGATGACCGTACCCAGAACAGAGTGTCTGAATTTTGATTTCCAGTTCTGGCTCCTCACTCCAGCTTCCAGGTAGTGCAAACTGTGCGTGGCAAGAGTGATGGCTCAAGTAGTTGGATTCCTAACAAACACATGAGATCTGGACTGAATTTCCAGTTCCCACCATTGCAGGCATTTGAGGAGTAAACTATTAGATTGGAGCTCTCACATGTTCTCTCTCTCTTCTGCCTCTCAGATAGACATATACATACATAAATAGATACATACGTACATACACATATATTAGGCATTAAGGCAAATTTGCCCCTTGGGCCAATTTGGCAAATCCTGACCTATACAATGGAGATTTATGAAGCAGTAAGAAGGAATGAAGATGGGGCAGGCATTGTGGCACAGTGAGTTAAGCCACCTGTTGTGATGTCCACATCCCATGTCAGAGTACCCGCTCAAGTCCTGGCTACACCACTTTTAATCCAGCTCCTAGCTAATATGTTTAGTAAACAGGGGATGACGGTTTAAGTACCTGAGTCCCTGCCACCCACATGGCTGGATGGAGTTCTTGGCTCCTGGATTCAGCCCGGCCCAGTACGAGATGTTGTGGCCATTTGGGGAGGGAATCAGTAGATGGACGATGTATCGCCCCTACCCCTTTCTGTCAGTTCTGCAACTCCACCTTTTAAATACATAAACAAATATATAGAATGAGGAATAATTCTACATATGCTACAGAACAATAGACTACAATTTTATAATAAATAATGCAAAGTACAGAAGAGCATATATAATATGCAGCCTTTTAAGGAGGGCGAATATGAGAAAAGGTATGATAAACAATGAAAGGATAACTAAAAGCCTATTCCAATGGCTAGCTACAGACAAAGAGATAAAGTGGAGAGGATGGGAATTTAAGCAACATTTGTCTCAATGTACCCTGTTTTATAAATTTGAGTTTGATGCTGTAAATGTTTTATGTCATTATAAAATCAGATATGATTCAGAATAAAAAGACAATTAAGAATTCTTAAGTCAGAGTCAAGTTAAAACAAATTTTACCCTAACTGTGCTTTAAATCAGTGGTTTAACTTCACACAGAAGAATAATTTCAATTTTTCATTTTTTTGTTTTATTTTGGACAGATAGACAGTGAGAGACAGAGAGACAAAGAGAAAGGTCTTCCTTCTGTTGGTTCACTCCCCAAATGGCCGCTACAGCCGGCACTACGCCAATCCAAAGCCAGGAGCCAGGTGCTTCCTCCTGGTCTCCCATGTGGGTGCAGGGGCTCAAACACTTGGGGCATCCTCTACTGCCTTCCTGGGCCACAGCAGAGAGCTGGACTGGAAGAGGAGCAATCGGAACTAGAACCCGGCGCCCATATGGGATGCCAGCACCGCAGGCAGAGGATTAACCGAGTGAGCCATGGCACCGGCCCATAATTTCAATTTTTAACATTGTATTTTGACTACTATGAAGGAGCCCAAGAGCCAAATCACTGCACTTATTTAACTATCATAGCTATCATATTATTAATGATTATATTGGAATTTTTATTCTAAAACTATATTGTCAGATACAACAAGTGAGTAACTGCATTAATGTCAAGAGCAACCAAGATGAAACAAACATAAATACAAAATCAAAGTAAAAACCTTTCAATTCGTGGCCAGCGCTGCAGCTCACTTGGCTAATTGCCTGAGGTGCCAGCACCCCAGGATCTAGTCCCGGTTGGGGCGCCGGATTCTGTCCCGGTTGCTCCGCTTCCAGTCCAGCTCTCTGCTGTGGCCCGGGAAGGCAGTGGAGGATGGCCCAAGTGCTTGGGCCCTGCACCCGCATGGGAGACCAGGAGGAAGCACCTGGCTCCTGGCTTTGGATCGGTGCAGTGCACCGACCATGGCAGCCATTTGAGGGGTGAACCAACGGAAGGAAGACCTTTCTCTCTGTCTCTCTCTCTCTCTCACTGTCTAACTCTGACTGTCAAAAAATGAAACAAAACAAAAAAAACCTTTCAATTTGTAACTTTAACTTAAGCATCAGCATGAACTAGTGATTTAATCTACACTAAATCAAAACACACACTTAATTCCTAGCTCTACCTAATAAAATAGGCTAGAAACCAATGGATTTGTGGCAATTGTGCAAATTGGTGGCTTTGGGAAAGGAAAAGTGTAGTTAAGTCTGAAAACAGAAAAGGCTGTGGCATGCCAGGTAAAAGCACTGCCTGCAGTGCCTGCATCTCATATGGGTGCCAGTTCGAGTCCCGGCTGCTCCATTTCCCATCCAGCTCTCTGCTATGGCCTAGGAAAGCAGCAGATGATGGCCCAAGTCCTTGGACCCCTGCACTGGTATGGAAGACCCAGAAGAAACTCCTGGCTCTTGGCCGCTGCAGCCATCGGGGGAGTGAACCAGCGGATGGAATACCTTTCTCTCTGATTCTCTGTAACCCTGCATTTCAAATAAATAAATACATTAAAAAAAAAAAAGAGGGGGAATAGCTATAAAAGGGAAAGAAGCTATGAAAGAATACTTCTAAAGCATGCAAAATGAGACTCATAAGCCATCTTAGAAGTTCTCACTGGCAAACAGGCAATCTGGGAATCACACAGAAGTAAAACTAAAATGAAACATCAAACATGCTATAATCTACTAGTATGGACTATTTTAAAGAAAACACATTCTGCTAGCAAATCACTAATTCTATAAACAAAGGAAAGAACTGACATTTATCTTACCATTTTCTGAAAACAAGGGAGAATTTTTTTTTTTTTTTTTGACAGGCAGAGTGGACAGTGAGAGAGAGAGACAGAGAGAAAGGTCTTCCTTTGCCGTTGGTTCACCCTCCAATGGCCGCCGCGCTGAGGCCGGCGCACCGCGCTGATCCGATGGCAGGAGCCAGGAGCCAGGTGCTTTTCCTGGTCTCCCATGGGGTGCAGGGCCCAAGCACCTGGGCCATCCTCCACTGCACTCCCTGGCCACAGCAGAGGGCTGGCCTGGAAGAGGGGCAACCGGGACAGAATCCGGCGCCCCGACCGGGACTAGAACCCGGTGTGCCGGCGCCGCTAGGCGGAGGATTAGCCTAGTGAGCCGCGGCGCCAGCCGAGAATTTTCTTTTGTAAAAATAGTCCAACTAGGGGCTGGCGCTGTGGTGTAGTAGGCTAAGCCTTCACCTGCAGCACTGGCATCTCTTATGGGCACCAGTTCATGTCCTGGCTGCTCCTCTTTGGACCCAGCTCTCTGCTAATGACCTGGGAAAGCGGCAGAAGATGGCCCAAGCACTTGGGCCCCTGCACTAGCATGGGAGACCCAAAGAAGCTCTTGGTTCCTGGTTTCCGACTGGCCTAGCTCCGGCCTTTGCGGCCATTTGGAGAGTGAACCAGCGGATGGAAGACCTTCCTGTCAGTCTATCCCTTTCTCTGTAACTCTACCTCTCAAATAAATAAAATCTTTAAAGGAGAGAGAGAGAGAGACAGAGACATAGTCCAACTAATAAAAGGAAGGAATGACAAAATATTTTTATACCACTAACAAAATAAAATACCAGTTCAATCATTATCCATGGTTACTAATTAATGTCTTTAATTGAAAAGCTTTAAAAGAATACTTGAAAAGCTATGGGAAAAATAATACCTGAACCCACTAATCAATTTCACATCACCAAAAAACTCAAGACACCAAGGGCTTCCCAATGAAATACAAAGGGAGTTACAAAATACTATGTATTCTTGCCGTAATCAAAAGAGAAGAAAAGATCAGTTCTCAAGTTAATCAGGATTCCATATCTAACCACCAGCTTATAGGAAATACAAAGGCTAGAGGAACACATTAACTGACAACTTCAGGATGCAATTAATTAAATCCAAATTATGAAAACGCTGAAGGATAATGTTGGTTCAACAAATTAACTGCAAGGAAAAACAAAGAAGGAGAGCGATAGAGACTTAAACATTTTAAATTAAATGTGAACTTTGTTTGGCATGATGGTTCAAACAAAAACTGTTAAAAGTTGGGAGGAGGAAGATGAAGAAAATTTTTTTGTATCAAACTATGTGGAGATTTTGTATAGTACTAAGATATATAACTAAGAAATTGATACTGAAAGTTTGAGGAGGAATGGGGCAGGTGTTTGGCAAAGCAGTTAGGATTCTCCTTGGGATGCGTACATCCCATATCAGAGTGCCTGGGTTCAAACCCCAGCTTGAGTTTCTGGCTCCTGGCTTTCATCTGTCCCAACCTGGCTACTACAGGCATTTGGGGAGTGAACCAGAGGATGAGAGATCTCTCTCCCTCTCAAATAATAAAAAATAAATAATCTTAACTTGAAAGCCATAAGAAAACTGGCTCTGGGGTGTATCTGGCTGCAAATTTAAAGATAAAATTGTATTATACCTGAAATTTGCTTTAGAATAATCAAGTGGAAAGAATGGAGTAAGGGGGTTATGTTTGCAATAAGATTAACAATTTGTTAATATTTTTCAAAGCTGAGTGGTTTTACAGGGAGAATTTTCTGTTTAGAATTTTCCTGTGGTTAATTCTTAATTAATGGCTTAACAAACTTGCAGAAAATATTCACAGTACACATTTCTAATAAAGGATTTACATCCTGAATATACAAAGAAATAAAAATTCAATAGGACAAATCAATTTTTTTATCGGCAAAATACCTGAACAGATACTTCACTAACCATGATGCAAGAATGGCAAAGAAGCCCAGGAAGATATGCCAAACATTGTGAATCATCAGGGAAATGCAAATTAAACCCTCATCAAATACCACTACATGTGTTCTTTTTTTTTTTTAATTTTTTAAATTTTATTTATTTTTTTGACAGGCAGAGTGGACAGTGAGAGAGACAGAGAGAAAGGTCTTCCTTCCGTTGGTTCACCCCACAGTGGCCACTGCGGCTGGCGCACTGCGCTGATCCGAAGGCAGGAGCCAGGTGCTTCTCCTGGTCTCCCATGTGGGTGCAGGGCCCAAGGACTTGGGTCATCCTCCACTGTACTCCCTGGCCACAGCAGAGCTGAACAGGAAGAGGAGTGACCGGGACAGAATCTGGCGCCCCAACCGGAACTAGAACCCGGTGTCCCAGTGCCGCAGGTGTAGGATTAGCCTATTGAGCCGGGCGCTGGCCTACATGTGTTCTAATGACTAATTAAAAAGTGTACTGGTGAAGATGTGGAGGAATAAGAACTCATAACGTTGTTAGGAGTGTCAAACAGTGTAATACAATCATTTTGGAAAACTGTTTAACAGATGCTTATTAAGCTAAATAAATATTTACCACATGATAATGTATAGTTCCATAACTAGTTATCATTAACTCAAAAGAACTGAAAACATAGACACACAAAAAAACACTTATACACAGCAGCTTTACTTCTAATAATTCAAAATAAGAGGCAAGTGTTTGGCCCAGGAGTTTAAGTTGCCTCTTGCAACAGCCATATTTCATATCAGCGTGCCTAGGTTCAAGTTGTAGCTCTGCCCTACATTCTTTCTTCCTGCTGATACACATCCTGGGAGGCAACAGGTGATGGCTCCAAAGTTGTTGTGTCCCTGCCATCCACATGGTACCTTAGGATTGAGTTCCCTGTTCTTGGCTTGTGGTAGGTGTTTGAGGAATGAACCAGCAGATGGGAGATCTGTCTTTCTGTCTCTGACTTTGCCTTTCAAATAATTTT